GAAGAATTTCTTCCTTATATCTAATCTAATTCTACCCTTTTTCAATTTAAAGCCATTACCCGTTGTCCTATCACTATATGCCCTTGTAAAAAGTCCTTTTCTAGCTTTCTTGTAGGCCCCCTTCAGGTACTGGAAGGCTGCTATGAGGTCTCCCCCGAGCCTTCTCTTCTCCAGGCTGAAAAACCCAACTCTCTCAGCCTTTCTTCATAGGAGAGGTGCTCCAGCCCTCTGATCATCTTTGTGGCCCTCCTCTGGACTCACTCCAACAGGTCCATGTCCTTCTTATGTTGGGGGCCCCAGAGCTGAATGCAGTATTCTAGGTGGGGTCTCACAGGAGCGGAGCAGAGGGGAAGAATCACCTCCCTCGACCTGCTGGTCACGCTTCTTTTGATGCAGCCCGGGATACGGTTGGCTTTCTGGGCTGCAAGTGCACATTGCCGGGTCATGTTGAGCTTCTCATCAACCAACAGCCCCAAGACCTTCTCCTCAGGGCTGCTCTCAATCCATTCTTCTCCCAGCCTGTATTTGTGCTTGGGATTGCTTTGACCCATGTGTAGGACCTTGCCTTTGGCCTTGTTGAATTTCATGAGGTTTGCACAGGCCCACTTCTCAAGCCTGTCAAGGTCCCTGTGGATGGCATCCCTTCCCTCCAGCGTGTTGACCGCACCACTCAGCTTGGTGTCGTCAGCAAACTTGCTGAGGGTGCACTCAATCCCACTGTCGGTGTTGCTGACAAAGCTTTACTTTGCATTCTTGGTGCAATACAAAGAAAGGCGGAAGCATAAAGCAGCCTAAAGAGCGGTATAGTTCATTTAACCATGGCTTTGCGTGCTGTCTCGTACCTGTGACACCTTGCAGTTCTGAAGTGTCACAATCTGCTGCCCTGGCAGCAGTGACCTTTCGCAGACTGTATGAGCTCCTCTCATTCTAGTGTATTCTCTTCATTAACTTAAATGGTCTCAGTGGGAAACTGGGCCCAATTTATGACCTAGGCTGAAAATCTTGCCTTTAACTAATTAACTTGTAGTGGTGCCTCAGCTAAATTAAGCTTAATGGGTCATTTAATCTGTCCCATTGCGCAGGAGGAATTTGACACTTTTTTTAAACCAGAGGTGCCCAAAATACCGTTCTGGCAAGTACACATAAATCATGTGGCCTTTGTGGACAATTAGATACCTACGGAGAGAAACAAGGTTCTAAATAAATGATCGTTATGTACTTACTTTTGGGAGCAGATAATTTAATTTGGTGTGATTAAAATAGATACTTAACAGAAATCACTGGAGTGAATTTAACTCTATCATAGCCTGTGGCTGAGGCAGTGTGCCTTTTTCCACTTGAAAAGAGCTTGTCTTTTCTGGTAGTTGAAAAATGGTGGTTTTTCCAAACCACAGTGCTAAATCTGAATATTGAACTTCACAGAAAATCTATTAGTGAATCCATTATATAAAATCATGTATAATGATCTCATAATAAAGAAGGTGGTGGTATGCAGTGAGATTTTCAAGAAAATACAGAACCACCGGATGGGAGGAGTAAAAACCCAGGGTTTAAACTTTAGCTACTTGGTTTATTTTTAGAAAAGTACAAATATTGAAAATGAAACCTTGAGTTGAATTATAAAAATTTACATAAAAAGAAATAATGTCTAATCTTTTTGATTTCTAGTGTTTGTGTGTGGTGTGTGTGGTTTTTTTTTTTTTTTTTTCTTTAAAGGGAAAAGTGATCAAGATTGTATGGACACTCAAGCTTTATGTTAACTGATCTCTGAACTTTGTGGATTGATAGATAATGCTTTTGTCTTCAAGGTGTATAAGCTATCCCTGTAATGTTCTGCAGTTTATCAGGAATTATTATCTTGTGCTGTGTCATTTTAATGTAGTTCTATCTGGAAATGCTGTTTTTTAGCAGATGCACATCTTTTCTCTGCCAAAGAAAAAGACCAAATGAGGTAGATTTTGACCTATTTTAATTCTCAAAGTTTTTATTTTTTACTTTTCAATTTTTTTAATTTAAAATATTTTTAGGCTTTTGTATCGTTCTTTTCAGTGTGAAGCCAAAAATTTTGAAACTTTTTAGTACAGCCAATTTCTTGAATTTTTGCAGAGATGGGACTTTCCAACGCCATCTTTGCATTGTGTTTTTTCTTGTTACAATTGCTATCTTCTACTTTGAAAGCCAATTTGTATAATTGGAGTGGGAGGGTAGTAGTTGTTTCCGCTGTCATTCCTTTCACAATGGATTGTATTTCAGGTGAATCTAGTGATGTAAAATTTTTGTAACACAAGGCCTAATTCACTCTTCTGTGTTTAGTTTGCAGTTTCATGTTTATTTTCTGGTAACAGTATGGAAACTTTAGAATTGATGAATTCTATTCATCAGTAGGTATTCTATACCTATTTCATAGGTATATCTATTTCATAGGTATTTCATATTGACAAAATAGGCTATATGATAACATCTTCTACCAAATTTGCGTTTTTGTATTTAAGCAGATTTTCAGGGAAGGGAAATGTGAAAGTTGAATACATTCAGCATTTCTGGAATTGGGCCATGAAATATAGCAGTTGCTACAATCGACTGCCTGAATCACGGATATGGAATAAAAATGGCTAAAACTTAAACAAAGTTTATTATTATAAGCTCTTAAGGTTTGTCCTTTTTTTCCTTTCGTTATTGCTGAATATTGCTAGAATGAAAAAATGAATTACATTATGATAGGTTCAGTGTCCATAATGTTTGTTCATTTCTGCTAAAACTATTACATAATTTCCAGGGATGATTGTAAAATTAACAGGTTTTTACTTGGAAGCCCTATGAGATCTAACGGCACTGTGCCAAATTACTTTTCATTTCAAATATGAGGCTGAAAACTGAAGGTCACTGAGGAAATTTCTCATTTCAGAAACCAAGACATCTGAGCTATCATTCAGATATTTAAACATTAAAATACAAATCCTTATTCTAAATTAGCTAGATATAATAAGCCTTTCCTTACACGATAATGCATAATGCAAAATAATGTGACTTTAGAAGGAAGTCAAATACCTATGTATCAAATGCAGGTTGAATTTTTTCAAAAATTCCACGTATTTAAAGTAGAACTTAATTTTACAATAAAACTTATCTTAAACTGGCAATAGCTGCAGTTGCTTAAATTTGAATCAAACTTAGTAGTGCTCACCAACATGCAACTTCTCTGGAATATGTGAAGCTCCCAACTCTTTTTAAGGAGTATCTATGTATACTGATCTATGTATACTGATCTATGTATTTAAAATGCAAAGTTTTTGAAACAAGAGGGATGATATTTTAGCGAAGACGTACCTCAAACCAGAGGCTGCTTGTATTTCATTTTCCCTTCTTCTGCATGCCCCCATTCTATTTCCAAAACTCCCTGTACCTGTGAGACTCTATCCTTTCTCTTTGGTGAAGAGTTCTGCCCTTCCTAATGCTACTTTATCCTCACACAGTTCCTTGTCTGTGTGACTGGCTTGGTGAATGCATGTGAAATGAGAGCCTGAAGAAAGGACTAGCTGTGTGGATGCATGAGAGTATCCACAGTGAAAAGAGCCTGCAGGGCTTCAGCAGCCAGTAAGCTAGGACCCAGAGGTGTATGACACTATGCAGTATTTGTTTCTGAGTGGACGTGTAGGTTTTCTTGTGGATTTTTTGTTTTAATGTCTTTAAATGAATTGCTTAATGAATGCTTTAAATGAATGCTTAAACCGTTTTCAAATGTTTTTAAGTGTTTACTGGTATTTTACTTTTTTCCTTAATGAAATGTGTGCTTCCTTTCGTTTTGCCATCTGGCAAATTTTAATTTATCCCTGTGGTCCATAATAAATATTTTTTTTTCAGGCAGCAGCACTTCTAGTCTATCCTCCCTGCTCCCATTTCCTAGCCTCCTACCTCTTGTATGCATGGTCGCAGGGAATTTTGATGTTATGAGGCTACTGACCTCTGAAAGGAGATGTGTACCTGAGTGTCTGTTTTACCTTTTTCATCCTAATAGTAATTAGGAGACCCACGAAAGTAACATTTAGGATAGCTAACTGAATATAGTCCTTCAATATCCGAAAAATGACAGTTTAGTCAGTCAAATCCCGTTTGTTTTCCTAGAAGACATCAGTTGTTTCAAATGATGTTTATCACATATGTTGCTTCCTGCAGGGGAAAAAATAGGCTGGGAGAGACCTTTTAATTCCAGGAAGCTTTTTATTTCTCATTTCTATAAAAAGTTTATCATGCTGTAATCATGTCTGAAATAATATGGTTAAAGTCAGTCCTGTATATAACTGACTTGTGAACATACACATTTATTTTTACAGGTGTATAAACTATTTTCTGTCTACAAATGGATTAGTGTATGTGTATGGGTAACTGTCCTGACAGACATTGTTCTGTTGATGTTGTTATATTTATGCCAGCCATGCAGAATATACCAGTAAATCGCTACATAATTTTAAATCAATAGTTGCTTCTAGCATAAATAAGCTTTAAGGTATTTTAGTCTACCTTTCGCAAAAATTGCTATGTTTGTTAACGTCAGAAAAACCACAGAAATGACCTGTTAACTAGTGGGTGTGGTTTTCTATATTAGAATTTTAAAAAGTCCCAGATAAATAACTCGAGTGTATGTTATTTTTATTTAATATATGTTTAATTCTGTGGAATACTTCAAACTTTGGTCTATATCGTGTGGTTTGTTGCTGAGTTAATGAAAACTGTGTCTGTTAGGTATAAGGATTTATATGCTTGTTTTTCAGCTTTGGGGCTTTCACCGGATTTGATTAGAATAAGAACCTCCATCTTGAAAAAATAAATTTGAATTTTTAATGTTTGAAAAATGCTTGGCAGAAAAGTTCTTATAGAAGCATTGTGTTTTGTGAATACAGTATTTTGGAAGACACCATTTATTTGAACTTCCTCTTGCAGGCTTCTTTACAGTTTAGCCTTTAATGCCCGATTCCTGAGGCATCTTTGGTATTTGATATCTTCAATGACTACACGAATGATTACAGGGTATGTATTATATCATTTCTGAAACAGTCTTTGTTAAGATAGAGCATATCTAGTGAAAAGAGAATGAGACAATTGGTGGTATGACAGTGCTCGTGGAAGATTGAAAACACAACTGTAATGGTTACTTAGCTCCTATGATTTCATAAAACTGAGCAAAATCTTGGAAATCGGACAGTTGTAAATAATTACAAATAAATAAATAAAATCTTTATTTAAAATAAGGTGGATGTGTTGTAGTTTTTGGAGTGCTTACTAGTATCAATATAACAAAACACTGAAGCTGCAAGTACTTCATCCCAAGTATGTGAATTTTATCTCGTATACTTTGACTAGTCCAGAAATTGATGGTGGCAGAAGCGTGTTCCCAGGAACTGAGGCATTGGACCTACAGATTTGTTCTGTGCTGACATGCAGATTAGTTACTCTCTTTACTTCGTGTCTCTGTTCTAAACCAGAAAGTATCTGCAGTCTGTAATAGTTAACACCAAAGTTTATATATCATCAAGACACTGAGATACTATAGTGACAAGAACTTACAAAGGGTAACCTTAATTTGCAAGAATGGCAAATAGTAGTTATTTAACTGAGAGCGCTGTCTTATTTTGCTGTAGGAACTACTACTAAATATTTTTACTAGAATGCTGAAGTTAATACTTTTTTAGAGTATTCAATTAACCATCTCTTTAATTTTGCATTTTATATTTTAAGGTCTATGGTGCCACTCCTTCAAGTGATTTCAAGAGGCTCTCCAATGTCTTTAGAAGACTCTAGTCGAATTATCCCTCTCTTCTACCTTTTCAGTTCTTTGTTTAGTCATTCACTTATTTCTATTCATGATAATGAATTCTTTGGTGATCCAATAGAAGGTGAGTTTCAAGCATACTAAATAGCAGTGCTTTGCAAAATGTTTTTGTGTAAGGCTACAGAGTTCCCTGGGCAATGATTTGCTGACATCTGTGGGGAAGGCTCTTCTGGGCCGACTTGCTGATAGTCCCCTGAGCACTTAGCTGTCAGCTGCTCTTTCATGGTGATTGCATTTAGAAAAAAGAGAAAAAAAAAGATGGTCTGCACCTTGGGAACCCTAGCTTTACAGGGTCTGATATGGAAGTTTTTAATCATGATAATTTTTGATGAGTTAGTGAAGAGAATGAAGTTCTTCTGGACTGAACCTGTAGTCTAATGTAAAAATTTAACATAGCAGGAATCACAAAAGAGAATATTACAATTAAAATCATTGTGACTGCAAACAATTACAAGACCTGATTGCCTTTGTAATGTACTCGTTCTGTTTTTGGGTGGTGTTTCTTTTCTCTACCTTTAGATTTTGTGTGAGAGTATTAAAGTTCCAATGACATAAGTGTTCTTTTAATAACAAAATGATTAAGAAAAAGTAATTTAAAGAAGCTTAAACTTGTGTTTTATGTAGTTGTAGGTCAAAGACAATCATCAATGATGCCTTTTACACTAGAAGAGCTTGTAATATTATCACGCTGCCTTCGAGATGCATGTTTAGGAATCATAAAGTTGGCTTACCCAGAAACAAAACCAGAGGTTCGTGAGGAATATATTGCAGCATTTAGAAGTGTTGGAGTAACAAAAAATACAGAAATGCAGCAATGTATACAGACGGAACAAAAAAGGTGGATTCAGTTATTCAAGGTAAATTGTGTCAATTTTCAGAACATATTTAAATAAAATTTTCAGGCTTCTGCTGAAGATACGAGATTAGGTTTTTTTTTTTCCTCTAATTATACTTTTAACACAGTTGTTACAAGGAATATAGATTTGGGAAGGTTGCTTTTTGGCGTATATGCTAAACTTTGAGTAATTAAGTTCTGAGAACTGTAACAATTTCTTTTGCTTCTGGCAATTCTTAGTTTTCCTGCTTATCCTCTATGAAAAAGTTGCTGTATAGAATATAGGTTTTAACCTGGACTCCCATTCAGCAAGGTACTTAAGCATGTCATTATAACTTTATGTAGGTGTGAAATTCTAACTGAATCATACGATTACTCAAGTACTTCTGTATTAGAGGCTTCACTAAATTGGTACCATGCTGCATTGGTTTTGTTGGTGTTCTATTAAAATACGTTGGTACTAGTCCTTTTGGTTTGCTGTAATACTAACGGGATGGTGAATCCAGCTTAGCAAATCTAAACTTAATGTATGTTTTTTCTGGATATCTATCAATGTATTTCTGCTAGTTTTATCCATTATATCCTACCTAAGACATGAGTTAAGAGAAGCTGAAAACGTTGGCAGGAAAAAACCTAATATAACTGTTGCCGAAAAAAAGGAGTGCTTGACTTGTCATGAAAATTCTGCAGCAAACACATCTAGTCAGCTAAAATTGCTCATTAAAGAAGTGGAAGCAGAAGAAATGCATTTTCCAAATTGAATGCTAGATTTACAGTCTGTTTAATACTGGCGACCTCTCGCACGCTAATGTTCAGTTCGAGTCATCAGCTGTCCCTTCAGGTCTTTTATCACTGCTTTTGTCAAGCTATCTATTTAATTGAAAGAAGTTAATTGAATGAAAATGATCAACTAAGCTTGTATTAATATTGCTAATGGAACTTTCTTCTTGGCCATGTTTGGAGAAAGATGTCATGCTAGACTTTAGGAAAGGCCCATTAAGGCTTGCACTTAACCTGATGGGCTAATTAAGGAATGCTTATTCATTCTACAAGTCTAAGATAGCCTCTATCCAGCCTATTCTGTCTGATTTTACAACACATTTCACTTATGAGCATAAGCATTAATAGCAGTGAGAGTAACTGATAATGTTTTGATTGCATTGAATACAGTCCTAATGCACCACTGAATTTGTAATTTGCACGGATTGATCTAATATATGTTTGCGCAATTTAATTTAATTACTTGTCTTTAAATTGCCAAATAAACTTTCAATTTAAAGGTCACAAGTGAAAACCCCAATATGTCTATTTTTCTAAGAAGGACAGCGTGCTAGAGGAGTCCTGGGTTTAGATTGCTAGTGTTCTCAGTACTCATTTGTTATGTAGAAGCAACTCCAATCTCACCGAATTTGATTCAGCTTCCTTTAAGGATTTTTTTAACTGCTTGTAAAATATTTTATTAGCATGGTCTTCACGTGGATAATTTTTTCTGACTTTTTTTTTCCCCTTCCCTTTTTTCTTTCTTTTTTAAATATAGTGGTAATGGGACCACAGAGCTTCAGTGACTTATCTAACCTGCAGTGAATTTTATAAGGGCAAGGTGATGAAAATTCCTGCGTAATCAGACAGTTCCCTTAACAGCATTCTTCTTTCTTCTGTCTTCATTCAAGATGTTACTTTACAAACTATCTTAAAAGGTCTTTTGTATAGTATCTAGACACAGAATCCTTTAGAAGGCCCATTAAACTCTTTGTTACTCTTGACACCTGCCCATTAAGAGTGTCTTTTAGCAAGATTACTTCAGAAAAGCTTTTTGTGTGGTTTTTTTCTATTCATTTTTCAAGTGCTGTGGTTCTAAGTTGCAAAACAGATGGCTGTTCATTGTAGCAGTGATAACGTCTTTTAGGCTAGTAATTTAATATTCCATTGATTCCACTTAATTATGTTTTATGTAGTGTTGGGCTAAGTTGGTTCTGCTTTGGAGAGCAGGCATACAACCAAGTATGACAATTGTGCTTGAGGTGGAGTAGTTGTTAGCTTGATATATCTACTTTTTTTTTTTTTCTGGATTGGAGGAAACTGCCAAGAAAAATACTAAAATTGCAAAGACATCCTAGTGACCATGACAACCATTTTTCTCAGCCTCCCAATTTTATTATGAAGATGTGCATAAACTAGTTATCTATTCAGTTTTCTCATTTTCTGACTGTGTGGTTATAATAATGACGGAATTACCTTTCATCATCTGAATTCCTTGTGAATGAAAATGAATTAAACATAGTGGTTTAAACTAGTGTGCTTGTGGTCGGGTGAAGTATGGGTGTACGCATCATCACCCGCTATGGTTCAGTTGATAAGCAAAAATTTGTTAAACCGCTGTTACTAGATGGTTTTCAGGTAAACGCTTATACCTTCTGTTGGAAAAGAGCGTACTAACTTAACACACTAAAGGACTTTTACCTAACACGTTTTAGTTTGTGAATAACATCACGATAATACAGTATATATGTGCATATTAAATGAAAATTACAACCAGCCACCCCACACATATATTTTTAGGACTGTAGGGGCTTTTTGTGCTTCTTATGGTGGTCACCAGAAGAATATTTGGTAACCATCCTTTTTCTGGAAGTGGTCATCTTGTAATCTGCTTTCAGGCATATTTGGGCTAGGCTTTCTTTTCTTTACTTTATGAATCTGGTATGTTGGATCTTTTAACGGTCTTACCGTGGGGTTTACTGTACAGTATAAACAACTGAGCTAGTCACACTAGGATCTGTTTTAATAGAGACAAGAACTTTGAGGGTACAGTTCATCTGATAAATTGGTAGCTACTTCTGGATGAAATGATCTTTTTTTCTTTCGCCAGCTTTGAAAATGCTAACCAGATATTCATTGACAAGAAAAGGAGCCTGTAGTGTCTTTTCAGATGTAGACCTTTACCCTTAAAAATGTCAGCATTAGATTTTTCACATGGATGATCACCTCGGTGTTTGGTCAGGTGGTATCATCAGCAGATACTTATAATTTCTCTGAGGTACCTTTAGTTGGACATGCTTTAGTTTGTCAATGCAGCAACCAGAAGTAGTCAATTTCATGTACTTTAGAGATGTAACTTTTGCTGTTATATTTTGCTGCCAATTTAATGCTTCTGTCCTCTCCTCTACTTTCTGAAGTTGATGTTGGCTTTTGTACAGTTTGGCCACTGAGAATCACATCACACGATCTTGTGCTGGTAGTTAGTTAAGTTTATTGACTATGGGCAGAAATACCTACTGTTTATTAGTTGATCCCTAAGATTTGCCTAGTGTGGAGTGATACAGTGACCTTTGTCTGGAGACGGCAAACAAAAGTTGCATTCTTCTTTGGAGCATTTTCCTTGAAAAACGATGCACAGAAATTTAAGAATCTTCCTTCTTGTGGAAAAAGAAAATGTACAAATCAGCCACATTGTTCAGAATCTCAGTTTTGGAATGAGAGGTAGAAGAGAATAACTGTATAGCGCTCTCTTCTAAAACATATATCTAGTCACACATTTAATTTCTGAAAACCTATATAAGCAAAAAAGAAAAAAAAATCTCTATAGAAGACCTGGTTAAGTGTTACTTTCTTTAAATAAGTAATTTAATGCTGGTAATGATTTGTTTAGGCTTCCCTGAACTGGCATACTACTTTTTAGGTGTGCAGGGTCCTAGGATTACCTAGTCCTAGGTAGTCCTAGTTCTTAGGTTTTGGAATGAGACGTTAATAAGCCAATTTTTTTGATGACTTACAAGTGAACCACAATTACTTACTCGCATTCTAAGATATTTAAGAATGAGAGCAAGTTTTTGTAAGTTAAAAATAAGTAACAACTTCATACATTACTGAAAGATTTTCTTAAGTTTTTGCTTGTGGATTATACAATTTCATTCATAGTGCTAAATGTATATTGAATATATGTGTTTCTGACACCTAGGTCATCACAAACTTAGTGAAAATGTTGAAATCTAGAGATACAAGGAGAAATTTCTGCCCACCAAATCACTGGCTCTCAGAACAAGAAAACATTAAAGCGGATAAGGTAAGAGTAATATCCTTTTTCCACATAGCCTTACATGTGCCAAAGTTTCAATGGTAAATTGTTTGATTCCTGACAGTATCGATAATGTTGATGTTGCACAGATTTAGTGTGGTTTAAAACCTGGAGTAATGCTGCTTTTCTCTAATGTAAGAGTTTTGCATCTGTTAAGAAACTTTTATGTTAAATCCTATTTCCACTCCATAAAGTAGAACCCACTCTCCAGTGCGACAGTGTAAGTCATCTGCATTTATAGCAGAAGAGAACTGAAAATCTGGTAGCATTTTGTTGCGTTTTATTTTCTAGTTATTTTAAGTACTTCTCATAAAAAAATGCTAAATAAAATAATTGCTCTATAGTGGGGGAAAAACCCCCTAAAATTCTCTTCCAAAATAAAAGAAAATTCAGGAGCATTTTCTGTACTTATCTCACCTAGAAATTACTTTTTTTTTCCTAAGAGCTTCTGAAAAAAATGAAATTGTTTGAGCTTAAAAAGTGCGTATGTGCGTGCAAAAGAAAACACTAAAATGAATGTGCAAGTACATAATTTGAATCATTGAAAACTTGGATCTTAAGAAGCTAGTTACACCTCAGACTACCTTGCACTTGCATGTCTTAACAGTTGGAAGTTTTGCACAGGATAGTTAACAGTGAACTCTTCTGTTTGTTTTTGATGACTGCACATTTGCTTGCCTTGTGTTCAACATTTCCATTTCTCTGTGTCACAGTTTTTTATAGTTCTTAGGAAATAGCGCCTACACACCTTAGAGAAAGTAGTAGTCATCTTAAACTGTGATGCTAACCTGACTCTCAATACAAAGTAAACAGAATTTATTTGACATCTCAAAATTCAAACTCAGTTTCTATAGTATGTAAAATACCAGAATTTAATGTAACATTACGTGGTATTTTTAAATGATACATGGACTTTATATTACATTGTTGTTAATTTTGCAGCTCAGCTTTAAGGTACAAGTCTAAGGAGGAGGGATTAGAAATGAAGATACTTAGGCATTCAGACACGCTCTTGGACGTGACAATTTTATGTATTTACTGTGTAATAGTAAATTGTAATATGTAATTAGATAATGCTTAACTGTAAAATACTGTTAATTTATTAGGTTACGCAGCTGTATGTGCCATCCGCTAGACACGTCTGGAGAGTCAGAAGAATGGGAAGAATAGGACCATTGCAGTCTACTTTGGATGGTAAGATATTGTCTATGCAATTTTTCCTTTACTAAGTCAAAGTAACAGTTTGCCTTATGCAAAAAAAATTCTACCTTTTGTAGAGCTCAGTTGAGTATTTTGTATAAAAGTCTTAATGATAGCCAAAAGCAAGGCAATCTTTCATAATTTTGTTTCTGGTATTTTAAAAAAATGTATCTTTGTATACACACGGGTGTACCTCTTTAGAATATTTAATGTATAACAGCTTTCCCCAAGCCTCTGCTGGGATTGATGAGGGGAAATGATGAGGTAGACAAATGATACGTGTTAAAAACATATGTATTAATATGTATAAAAGGCAATTGCGTAAGATACAAAATTAATAAAGTTGCAGAAGATAGAAGGCATTGAGGTTTTGCTTTTACTGTATACTATAAAGAAACTTCTTTATTATATATTAAACTGTAACAAACAAGTTCCAGGTACTATGATAAGTATTAATTACTGTTTATAAATATTGTCTCTAATTAGATAAGGCAGAAACTTAACACCTTGAAACTTAACACCTTGAATTACTCAAAATATCTGGACTTTAGGGAACTTCCAAAGAAAGATGAGAGAATTGGACCAACTTAGCAATCAGGGTAAATTTACACTAGTTTAGTTGTGCCAATATACTTTCTCATGTAGACAGTCTGTTTCTTTCAGCTTTTCATACCTTTGTATCTTCACTGTTCTAGAATTCTACCTTGCTGTGCTCAGGTAAAATAATCATTAAATCACTAATACTTGTGAAGATTTAATAATGAATTAAAAACGGGGCCTTTAAGCAGCAAAATGGTTCATCTACGAGAGTCCATACTCTCTTCCAAGATGATGTAATCTGCTTGAGTATCTTTAGCCAGATACAGTAGATCATTTAGAGAAGACCGTAGCCTTAGAATGCTGCCTCAGAGTTGTACAGAATTAAGGGCTTTGTCCGAGGTTGAAACCTAAGGACTTCTTATAATGATATTTTTCTATTTGAATAGCTATGATGGTATAAGTTTACTTTGATTACCTTATTAGTCTAGTTGCCAGGTAACAACTAATTGGTCCAGTGTAAGTACTCCTCAGAATTTTTAATCGAATATTTTTTCAGTTTAGTTTCTCTCTTTGGAAATCGCCTATTCTAAGTGGTTGATAATATGAATCTTAAAAGGAGGTGTTTTAGCAAAAATTGCCAGGCTTCAACAGGTCTGTATCCAGTATACCTTACAGACTCTACGTCAGTAATCCCCGTTTCTTCCGTTGACCTACATGGCTCTTGACAGCTCTACTGTCTTGGTGTTCTCCACTGTCAGACCTGCTCCACATTTATTACTTCCAGATTCTCCCCCATGCTACTAGTCTGCTAGTCTGCTTCCCTTCATACATCCAGTATTGTGAGCTCTTTCCTTTGTCTTCCTTCCCATAATAGCACCAGTTCCCTCCATTTCATTAGTTGCCTTAGTCTGGGCAGTTGGTGGATAAGGAATGCATGTGCTCTGGCTGGTGCGGAGCAGCTATATGCCCTCATTTTGCTGGCTGGCTGTCAGACAAGCTGACACCCTACAGAGTAGATAACTGAGCTCTCCTTGCTGTTTCAGGTCACTAAAGGAATTTCCCTATCCAGTTGAAAATTTTCACAAAACTTGGTATTTTTGAATCTCCTATTCTCTGTCAAAGTTAAAATTCAGCTAATGAGCTTAAAAGGTGTGTTGGAGGCAAGGTGGTGAGGAAAGATGACACAGTGTGTACGAAATCAGGCTAAAAAAAGTGCAGTCAACATGAATGTGTGAAAACAAGCAGGTAACAATGTGCACATGACTTGTTTAATCCCTCTTGACTCCATGTGGGTTAAAGCCAATTAGCGTGAAAGTACTGCTGAATCACATACAGTCATGTTTATTTGCGCTTTTTCATTTACTTAAATGGCAGACTGGTGAGTTCTAAATGCCCTCTGTATTGATGACTCCATCCCATATTTCTCTTTAAAGAAAGAAGCTGTGATGGAGAAATGCAGATAAAATTGACTAATTGACTGGAATAATTGAACTGTCGAAGTCCTGTAGTAGTTTACCTTTGCTGTACATGCACTTTTTATTTAAAATGCTTTTAACCCTTAGCTTAATAGGCTGCATTCATTGACTTTAATTAAAAATTTTTACTAAGTAAACTAAGGGTAATCACAGATAAGCATTTTATCAGAAATTCCAAAGGCTTGCAATGTTGAAACCTGCGCCAAATGAATATACATCAAGTATAGTGATGTTTTGGGTCATGCCATGTTAAATTGGTGCTTAAAATATCCCTACTTAAAGTGCTTTGAGGAGTAAAAAGAAAAAAAAAACAGCACTGAAGTGATGTCCAGTTGCAGAAGAGCAGCAAAACGCTAGTCATGACAGGTGGAAGCCAAAGGAAAAACTTGAAACTATCGTCATAAACTTCCAGACTGGGTAGTAACGTGAAGCATTTACTTCAGTTTTGTAATATGGTCTATAAATAGCCTAGACTCTGCAGTCTTTTTTTGAGAAGGTGGTAATTAAACGTGAAAATGAACCAACTAAGGAGTTGTGGGTTTTGCTTCCTCTGTAGACTGAAGCTAGGTGGGCCTTTAACCACGGTGTCTAGTCAGTGAGCAATACCTTTTTTTTTGCTGCAGTTAATTAATTTACAGTTAGATGTGTGCTCAACAACTGAATTTCTTCCCATGAAGTTAGAGCAGGATTGTCACTTCTACTGTGCATCACCCAAAGTTGAGTTGTTTCCTAAAAACATCCTATGTGGGTATAAGAAGGTTCAAAGGAGCTGCATGGTAGCTTGGGAACTGCATGCGATTGAGTCTCTCTGTTGCTCTGGCTTCTTGAATTCTTTTCTAACCTTTTTTTCTTGAGCACATTATACAATTTCTTGATGTTCTTTTCACTGTTTCTGCAGTGACTAGGATTTAATGTGATCACTGTGACCTTGCTGTTGGGGGAGAAAACCCATTGAAATAAATGTTATCTTTCTGTTGGTTTCATTAGGTTTGGTTTAATTCTTAGTTTTTATGTCTAAAATGATTTGACTGAAAGTGGATGTTGTAGTTGAAAGCACAGTACCTTTAAACTGTTTTGATCATTGGGGTGGGAATATTGTGTATTCCTGTGATGAAAATTCTCATTACTTACAACTTTTAAATAGTCTTCCGTCATGTATTTTTTCTCTATTGAAAAATTAAGATGTCAATAATAAGGAAATAACATTTTTCTTGTGAAAAAAAAAAGCAGGAGTACTTATACACATTTTGTTTTCAGTGTGTTTTTACTACTTATATTTTCAGTTTGCCTGCAGAAACTCATGTTTAAAGAAAGGTAAGGCTCGGTGTGACTGTTTAGTAAATAAACTATTTTAATGTATGTATTTTTATACAAAGTAAATTGAGTTACTTGATACAAAAGAAACTGTTTAAAAAAAATGTTTTTTCCAAAATTTTTAAAATTATTATTTCTATTTTAAGTGGGTTTGGAACCAGCACCTCTTTCTGTATCTGAAGAACGACAACTTGCAATTCTGACAGAGCTACCTTTTGTAGTTCCTTTTGAAGAAAGAGTAAAGGTACCACATTTCTAATTTAATACGCAGTTGGTTTTTTAGTTTTTTGTTTTCAATAAGTGTAAAAAGAGCACTTAGCTAAGTAGAAACTGGATCATTTCCCTGCAGAAGGATATGATAGGCCATACCATTTTTCTTCAGTACTCGTGGCAACTGAACATTTGAAGTTAACAACTTTTCTCTTTTTTTACTAGTTATATTACCCTTTATAATAATTGCATTAAAATTAAAAACATGTATGCCAAGATATATGAGAGCAGTTGTACATTTATAATAAACTGCAGTCCTGATTAAATGATTGATCTACATGATTGCACCCTCTTGTGGTAAGCAGAGCACTAACTAGTTGTGTATCTGTAATAAACAGATTGCAAGGTCAAGACTGGAGACTTTTGTGCAGTGGGTGGATTTACTCAGAATGAGATGATGGATGTCCATTTTGGGAAAATAACGCCTAGAGATTAAATTTCTGCATTCATAGCTGAGTAGCTGAACTTTAATAGAGTATGTAGCTTAAAACTTGCAAGATTCTTGTATTTGATTTGCTTTTGAATGTTTTCTAGATTTTAAATATGTAATTGTTAGTTCTATTACCTATTTCGGTTTACATCATATATTTTTTTAAAAGCTGTTATTCTGTTACCCATAATCTTTTTTCTTAACTGCTTTTGTTGTCAACAGTATCAATTACTTAAAAACTGTTCCCTGAAATGTCTTGGAAACATTAAGTTGTAAGACACCATCAAGAGAACGAAGAATAGTTCCATAGGCAAAGTAAATCAGTATTTGTCAAAAAAAGACAGTGACAGCTTTGGTAGAAAAGAAGTGTTTTCTCTAGGCTTCTATGAACAATTGTTCCAAGAAAACATTTTAATACTGTATGGCAATATTGCACTAGGATTACAGGGAAACAATTCAAGTGACCTGAAGCAGGGGTCTGTATGTCACGATTTAGTCACTGTCTACAACCTCTGGACTTCTTAAAGCTATGTTGAGATGCGCATATTTTAAGTTTCTGGAATTCATAAAACCTTGTTTGGTTTTATCACAAAAACTGAAATCATAACAATTGGATGAGAGCTTGGAGAGAAGGATAAAGCTGTAGACTGAACTTTTGTAGTTCAAGGAGGAGATTCTCTTATACTGCTTTTTGGACCAAGTATGGCCCTTTTTGTGTAATAGCAGGAGTCAACATCCTTTTGGAGTCTCCCACTGCGCTTGCAAAACAACTTGCAATAAAGGAAGAAGATACCTTATCATGGTTTTGGTTTGATGTTTGGTTTTTTTTCCCTTTCTTCCAGTTGCCATCTATTACGCTGTAATTTAATGTGGTAATACAGCTCAATGCTGTTTCCATGTGTGGGTTGTTCCATGTGTCCTCTCATTTTCTGACTTCTTCATGAGATTTTTACCTTGAATTACCAGATATTGGATACTCTTACAAGCATTTACTGAGTCCAGTTTCATGGTAGGCTCTTTTGCCTTCTGACCTTGGGGGATATTATCCTCTTTAGCCTTAAGGCACATTAATGTGCACCTTTCAATCTGATATTTGCCTGTGGGAGGTAATGAATCCAATTTGTATCAAGTGCCTTGGTTCTCACTTACTTAAGCCATAGTTTCGTCAGTTTTCCTATGGAGATGTTACTTCCTATGGTGTGTACCTCAGCATTGCTTACTTTTCCAGGTGTTAGTCTGAAGTCATTGTAAATGCTTCAGTTATGCATTAGGGTTCTTATTTTCAGGACTAACGAATGCATGAACATTGGATTATGTAGGAGTCCAGACTCAGTATCAAGAAGAATTTTGCTATGAGATATACCTCCAAATGATTCTTTCGGTCTAGTGTTATGTAACAATAGTTAATAAACCATATCTAGTCATGTTTCAGAACGAGAGTGGTGGTGAGCATATTCTCGTGCCCTGTACATAAAAAGAAGGTGTCTGTGGCTGTGTGTCTTGATGTCATAGAACTGTAGAAGAATTTAGATAAGAAGGGACCTCTGGAGGGACTCTAGTCCACATCCTTCGTCGTACAGGAATAACTTCAGAGTTGGATCAGGATGCTCAAGGACTTGTCCAGATGAGTTTTGACTATCTCCAGAGATGGAGATTTCACAAACTTTTCTTGTAACCTCTTCCAATACTTAGTCACTCTCATTATGAATTTTTTTTTTCCTTTATGTCCATTCAGCATTTCTCTTTCTGCAGCTTGTGACTATTTTCTCTTGTTTTCCTGCTGTGTACCTTAGGGAAGAATCTGGCTTTGTCTGCGTTAGAGAGCATCTTCTCCACTAACTACAGTTGTCCATAGAAACAGTAGTTTTGAGACCTTACTCTAGCTTTGTCTGCTGTTGTCAGATTTTCCTCTTTCATGGTAAATTTGTTGTTTTTAAACATCCCTGGAGACGCTTACTTAATCTTGTTAGTTAAGAAAGCAGTCTGTGATATTATTGGGAGATTATATCCCTTGGAAAATGTACTAGACTATTTATTGAATACAGGAAAGGTGCAAGTGAGGACGTAGTAAACACACTCCCTGGATTGAGGGTATATTGAACATTATTATACATTAGGCAGCCCTCTCCCATGCTACATCTTGGCATAGAAACACAGTTAGCTACAGTTACTCTTCAGTGAACTGTAACAGGTTCCTGTTGTGAAGACTTGCAAAGGGACAATGTGAAGTTTAATTTGTACTTCAGCTGGCATTTTTTTGAATTGGTATGATGCTCTGGTTCTTTAATATGGCAGTGCTGTCCACTGTTTTGCTTTGAATTATTTGCTCACTGCTCCCGAGAGGTGAACTGATACCTAATTTCTTGTTAATGGGAACGTTCCTAAGCATTACACAAATGACAAAAAATTGTTTACTAGTATTGAGGATTACCTCTGTGTGTGCAAAATACTCATGTGACTTTTTCCCTTTGATTTTGAATACTTTGCATTTCAGAACTCTGAAAGTTAGGGAGAGGAAACTGGAATCACTGACACAGTGTCTGTAGATGTGTCTCTTTATGTAGAAAGAACTGAGGATGATATCTTAGCAGGAAAAAGTTTTTTGCCTGCCTGTCCCCTCTCCTTCCCTCCCCTGGGACATGGCTCTATTATGTTTCTGCAGCTCAATGAGAGAGAAGACAAATCACCTGAAAGTGAGTGCCCAGAAGCAGCTCAAAGGACAGTAATAGTAGTGAACAACCATCTCTCATTGAATATTTAGATCTGCACAATGACATGATTTCTCTTTTCATTCATTTTTAACAGATTTTTCAAAGGCTGATCTATGCTGATAAACAAGAAGTTCAAGGAGATGGCCCATTTTTGGATGGAATTAATGTCACTATCAGAAGAAATTATATTTATGAAGATGCTTATGATAAACTTTCTCCTGAAAATGGTATGTTTACAATTAAGTTATCAGCTTGTTTATAACATTTAACCATTCTTACCACGTAGTTATGTATTTGCTTACTTGAGTAGGATGTTAGAAGTATTTCAGCTCTGAGGTGTGAAAGTCCTTATAAAGTTAAATTTCCTCATTTTTATGTAAAGTAATTCTCATCCAATCACATTCTTCCTGATTATTGCAGCTTCATTCTCTTTAACACGCCCTTCCTTAGTTCAAACCTACTTTTATGGGGCTTTTCTTCCCATTTACTTTTCCAAGTAACTATACTTTGTATATTTATCTATGTAGTTTATTATGTATTATCTGCTTTGGTAATCCGTGTCAACAAAAATATCTTGACTGCACAGGATTTGCTAGGTACAGCGTGGCTGATAAGGATAATGCAGTGCACTTTGTAGTGATAGTATGTAGTAGTACCTATTTTACCACATTGATTTAAATCATACCTTAGTGTGAACTTGTGTGAGCGTGGCTGCTCTGGAAGCCAAAATTCCAATGTAGATAAAAAAAAAAAACAACCCTGCCAAAATAAAGTCCTTATTAGTTATATGGTATTTTTGCATATAAAAAGAATATTTGCCAAATACTTGAGGTTTGCCATGTGAATCTCGCCTGCTGTGCCACGTAAGTTCCCTCCTGGAAAACTGTGTAGTTTAGGGAGGAACAAGAAGAGGTGTTGGTATTCTTGGTTTGATAAAATTACTGAAGATCATACCTTTTCTTAATTTCCTTTATGCTGGTAGTATTAAAGATAATATTCTATTTATAAATAGGGTTTTGTATTTCAATACCTGTGTTTAAAACTGTAACTACCTAAAAGAGATACATTTAGACTAAATTTTTTTTTTTTTAAGTACAAATAAAGTTGTTCTGGTTTTGGAAAGTTTTAAAGGCTTATCAGGAGATGTCACTGTGTAATCATCTGGAGATTGTATGTGCAATTGACTGTTTAGCCTCTTTCCTAGTGGTTGGGAATAGTTTAATCGTACTAAGTTTAGTATGAATCATTAACTGGTTTCTTAAAAAGAGAAAGATGAAATGGAGGTGGAAAATAGAAAAAGTTGAGTCTGTTGTGTTCCCCCTCACATTCCCCAAAATGTGTGAAAATACAATTCAGAAACTTACTCTAAGCTTTTGAATAATGCAATGTCAAGTAACAGGCAAGTCAACCTATTTGTTTAATAAGAAGATAGCTTTAAATAAGAAGCATATTTTCTTTGAAGACTACATTTCAACTTAATATAGTTTTATTAAACTACGAAAACAGTTTTAGAATGTGTGTTTCCTAAACTTAATCTACAGTCTGACAATCTGGGTACTGGGATGTATTCCACCATTAGCAAGGTCACAGGCAATATGAAATTAAGGGGAATAGTCAATATACTGGAAGGTCAGGTTGCCACTCAGACGGCCCTCAATGGACTGAAGAAAAGGGCTTACAAAAGCCTCATGGAGTTTAGGAAAGACCAAAAGCTAAATCATGTACCTGGGCTGTAATAACCCCATGTAGCAGTACAGACTGACCACTGACTGGCTAGAAAGCTGTTTTCAATAAAAGACCCCAGGTTTCCTAGTGGACAATAAATTGAACAAATAAAGAGTTCTCTTTGATGAGATGAAAGCTAACTGCATACTGGACTGTATTAGCAAGAACATAGCTCACAGTTTCAGCAGTGGTGAACTGTGTCCAGCTTTGGGCTTCCCAGTACAAAAAAAGACATTAACATAGAAGAATGTGTCCTGCAGAAGGCCACCAGGGTGATACAGGGGACTGAAGCACATGGCATATGAGAAGAAGCTTCACTGCACCTGTGAGATTACAGAAGCCTGTTTGATAAGGTACAGTGGTGACACGTAGCAGTAAGGGAGATTTTTACTGAACATATACAGAAAAAACATTTCACAGTGACCCTTTTTAAGCACTGAAATGGGCTCTCTAGAGAGGCTGTGAAATCTCCATCATTGGAGAACTCAAAACAGACCAAGCCACTGAGCATCCTGATCTAACTTGGAAATTGGCCTTGCTTTCAAAGTGGGGATTTTGGGTCATATGAGGTCTCTTCCAACCTGAGCTATTCTGTGATTCTGTCAAGCGTTCTGTTCAACAAAAAGAGCTTTTTTATTAATACAAAATTTATCTGCATATACATGTATATAGTTCCAGATAATGTTTTCAGTCTTTCCTTAGGAAGAAAATTACTCATAAAACAGTGACAAGAGAGAACCCAATAAGCTTGTAGCAAGGGATTTGGAAGTAGAATAATCTCTAGGTGAAGATTTTTGTCTTGTTTACAGGTACAGAGAAGCCGTAGTGGTAGTTGGCCACTGAAGTCCAAAGATCTGTTTTTCTACATGTGCATAACACACCATGTATATACATGCCCGCGCGCGTACACACGCACACACACACATATATATACGGTGCTATCTAGTTCTGTACTAGTGCAGCACTAGTGCTATTTAGAATCAATAAAGACTAAATTAGGAGGTTGGACTTCTTTTTTTTTCTTCTTTAAAAAAGCCTCTATTCTGAGACAGTATAATTTTTTGAAATAATTTTAGTTGTGGAGTAGGTCAGGCACCACGTGAGAAAGCAGAAAAGAAGAAATTGCTGAAAGTTGCAAGAGACACAATTTCGAGACTATAGACTGAATTGGTTAAAATTGATCTGGGCGATTGAACAGAGGGTAGAGGAGGTCCTGGAACTGATCAGGAGAGAGCGAAGAACATTGATTTGGAAGAGGCACCAGTTTGTCTACTGGTCCTGAGAAGAGAGCTGTTCAAAGTTAGTGTTTCTGGAGTACCTTAACTGAGATCATTAGGAAAACAAGTTTGGAATAGCAGAAATGTACTGGGTTGGTTTTTGTGGGTTTGTATTTTTATTTGGTTGTCATATGCTTAATAATGTGCAAGCATTTCTCAATTTTTTTTTTTTCCCCTGTGACTGCAATTTTCAGAATATTCCGTAACAGCCTCCAGTGGACTCCAGTAGCAGTTTAGTTACATTCTAGCTGTATGAGTTATAAAACTGAACTCTTCTTTTCAGAGGTTGCACTAACTTGGGGTCCACCTCCACCTGGTCACCTTTTTTGACGTGAATTTGTTTTAGGACCATTTTTCCCTCCTTGCTATAATTGTGGTTGTCAGTACACAGAGGAAGAGATAAATAACTGATTCTCTTTATAAGGCCCCAAAAAGCACTAAACCAACATTTTCCATATATGAAAGTTTTAACACTAATGCTCAATATCTCAGGAGTCTCCAGACAAAGCATGTCTGTATGCTGGTGACTCTCTTTTTAATAATAATTTCATATATTTTTAATATATTTAATATTTAAATATTTCATATATTTTTAGTAGTAATTTCATATTGCCTGTGACCTCACTAATGGTGAAATACATCCCAGTACCCAGTGTTCTATTTTCTTGTTTTGAATGGTGATGAGTGGACCTATTGCATCATCTGTGGCTAAAAATGCCCATCCTCCATTTCCAGCCAGCAGAATTTTTGTGCAGGAGACCATTTCACTTGAATGAAGAAATAATAGGTAATTTTTAAAAATAGCTGAGTTTGAAATGGGAAGTTACTAGTAGATGTAGGGGCATTTGCTAGTGGGAGAGTGCGAGTAAGACACTCGGTGGTTCAGGAAAGATTCTGTTGCTACAAGGTGCTGAAGATTCTTTCTTGAACATCAGCTGTCCATCCATAATGTGTGCATTTGTAGTACATGGAAGCAGTAGAAAGTTTTATTGTTACTGGTTTATTACTGACTGCTTTGCTGGGATGCAAGTGTAGCCAATGCAAGGGTTTGCATAAAAGCTATGTATTTGGTTAGATCTTTGGAAGCCTTCAGTGAATTGAGAAAAAACGTCCTCCTTCCCTGTTACGTATACATAGTTCAGGGACTAAATATTGCTTGCTTTCTCAGGTAGCAGCCTTCTATGAAACAAGCAGAACACCTACCTTCAGAACATGTCCATCTTTACCACACCTTCCTCACTGGAATTACATGACATAGCGATAAGTCCAAAGTATCAAAAATACTAAGTTCAATTTCAGATAATATTATTTAATGGTGTAGCTTAACAGTCAGCCGCTTTAACGGAATGCAGTGCTTATTGACTCTTCCTTCAGACAGGAGAAAGTTGAACCTTGCATTCACAATATTTTATAGAAGTCGAATTTTCAAATTATTCTTGAGCTTCTTTAAAATATTTTGTAGGATTTTTTTTCTTCCCCTACCTAGTGTCTTTCCACTCCATCTTTTGATGAGTGGAAGACTCATCAAGACCCTTTGTACAAAATGAGTTTCACATACTGAATATTCCAAAATTCAAGCCAGTAATAGGTTTTTGCTACTATTTACTAGTTCAATTTTTTATATAAACTTAGTGTAGATATGTTTGTATGTGTAGTTACATGTGTTTTTATCCAAACAAAATTCAAGCAGATAGTTGTATATGAGTTTGTCTCTCTCCTTTCTCTGCAGAACCTGACCTAAAAAAGCGCATTCGTGTTCACTTACTTAATGCACATGGTCTTGATGAAGCTGGTATTGATGGTGGTGGAATTTTCAGAGAATTTCTGAATGAACTACTTAAATCAGGCTTTAATCCTAACCAGGGATTTTTTAAGACCACCAATGAGGGACTTCTTTACCCTAACCCTGCTGCACAGATGCTTGTTGGAGACTCTTATGCCCGACATTACTACTTCCTTGGAAGAATGCTTGGAAAGGTAAAAACTGTGATTTATAATATAAAGCTATTGCAGTACTGAAATTATTCAGTAATGTTTTTTTCCTTTTAGATAGGGGTAGATAGGAAAAAATGATTTTTTTTTTTTAGAGTTGAGGAAAAATAACTTTCAGATGTTGGATCTGAACATTATTTCTATGTATCACCTAAATTTCTGGTTCATTTTAATAAGTTACATACTTGAGAAGTACAGAGAATTTGAGATACCCTGACTGTCAGTTGAGCAAAGTGTGCATATGTCTGCTTCCGTGTTTATCCTCTTGCTTAAAGTTAAATTGATTGAAGCCAGTAGAACTGCTCTGCTTATGATGATTTTTAACCTGGAGCTTTCTGGAATTTGACTGCAGTTAAATTTTCATAATTTGGAATATATGAAATTAGTATTTTCAGAAACAAAGAGTTTCTAGTTGTATGAGGTGTACAATTCTTGCTAGCATTTAAAATTTGCCATGAGCATTTACCATACTTAAGAGCCATATGCAAATTAACTTTCATTTATTCTGCTTGGTTTTTTGCACATTTTGCATCTTTTTTGAGTTTTAGTGGTTGATATTTTGGTGTTGTGAATATTCAAAGAGTAATACACACTTGTTGAGCTAGATGAAAAATGAAGGGGGGGGTGGGGGAAGAAAAAAAGAGAGAAACCAGTACGAACATTCATTACATTCAATTTTCTCTCATGGTCCAGTTTAGTACTGAGGCTATTTCCTTCTAAGCCCTTGAAATAATTTTTGTAAAGCTAATAATTGTGAAACAAAGTTTGGAATACAAATCCTATTTCAGAAAAAAATGTATTGATTGCTACTCAGCTATGTAAAACTGAAAGTATTTAAGATGTAAAAGTCCCATTTAACTGCCTGAATTATTTTGGAGGCTAAAATCCTGCTGACTTGCAGTGAGATTTAACATATAGTTGGATGTCCTTTTAGTGTAGCTGGAAGGGGTTTAAGAGGATGTTGTTGGCAAACTTGAATTGTTGAAACAGAGTGCTGTTCTTTAGAGTTGCCAGTCAACTGATTTAGATTAAACTGCCACTTTGTAGGCAAATTCTCTGCTAATGCATCCTAGCTATTGCAATAGCCAAACTTGTTAAATAATGAAAATTTCAAATCAGCCATTTCAATAAAATAATCTTTGAAGGATGTTCCCGCTCTTAATGGGTAATGGATTCAGTACTAATACAATAGTTTGTAATTATGACCTATGTTACATATGCAAGGCTTTATTTTCTTTCTGCATCTATAGATTTTTTGGAGTGGGGAGGCGAATACTGCTGTGCTATCGTGAGGAAGTCACTTCACTCCAAAAATGTTCGGTGTTTATCTAGGAATGTTTATCTAGGGCTCAATTGTCAAGGGTAAGTTTGAAGCATTATTTAAAAAAAAAAAGATTGTAATTTTGAATCTTTAATTTCCTCTGTCAAAACAGCACATTGCCTTCTGTAATTGGATTTCAAATATTGGCGTAAAGACAGAAGTTGCAAAATGTGTTTTATCTCCCATAGAGTGCTGCAAGTATAGTTTTGGTTTTGTCTTTTTAAAAACAGAGGATCTATTATTTAACATTTTGAAAGCATAAATTGTTTTTGTATTTGCAGTAGGTTTACAGAAGGTAAGAATTGACAGTGTTACTTAATAATTACCCCTACACAGGTGCACAGACACGTTTTTAGTAGTGTATTTAGAGACTTGATGAATTAAACAGAAAGATAAGGCACGACCATGCTATTCAAAACCTGCCAGTATTGTGATCTTGCTTAAGCTATTGAATACTCACTCACCTGTTTTCAGAAATGTGTCCACTTTATGCTTTGCACAGGGTTATTTGAGAGCAATAGTGGATTATTAAAAGCCCCTTTGTAAACAAAATAGATATAACGCAAAGGAAGCAATCAGGCATCCACAGCAATTTCTTATTTGTGGAAACCAGTATGTAAAGAGCGCTGCCACCAAAAACTCTCACGTAAGAAGTTTCAGTGTTATCAGAAAACAAATACATTAAAATATAATAATTTATAGAAATCCTCTGTCTCTTGGTAACCATTTCATACTAATATCCAAATGCATTTAACTTCCAGTACCATAGATTTACACCTAATTCAGTTTTTCTTCTCATCAGGACGTTTCTACAGCTTGACATCTTCTGTGTTAAGTGGTCAGTTCAGAAGTAGAAACATCTGAAAATTTAAAACTTACCTTTAAAAATGGTGTATCTAAAAACTTAAATGATTTTAACCCTAGATAAATTATTGACTATTTGGAGTGTATTATGTATTTAGTGAAGAAATTGAAATCTATATACTATACAAACTGCATGGCTGTCCATGCAACTTTCACTGATCACTGAATGAGCAAAAGGTCTTGTAGAAATAATACCATGTGATCATGTAATTGCATATGTTGTCTGAAATCATTCTTTAAAAAAAAAAAAAGCAGAAATGAGTTTGCTTAAACAACAGCTACTCAAACACTTCCAAAGTTTACATTTCTCAACTTTCAGTGACTTTACTCTGTAATGTAAATATTATTTCAACATTGTTGCCTTTTAAGCATTTTCCTTTCTCTTCTTTAAAAGTAAAAGCTCAGCTTACCATGCGCACCTCTGGTAGCAGGCTCCCACCACTGGTGGGGTTTGAAACTTGAACCTTTCGCCCACTGGAAGCAAAGTAGTGACTTTCTGAGTCCCAGGCTTTGCTTAAGAGCTGAGGGTGTCCTGGGCTGTTGGGGACATTCAGACAGGGGTGTTCTAGCCCCAAATTCTCTTTGTTGTCCTCTCTGGAAAGTAAAGTCGTCTTGTCCCATGTGGTGTCCCAGAAGTATGGATGGGACATTGTAATCCTTTTGCTCTCTCAGTGGGTAGGATTGAGCTGTGGGGAGGCACCTGATTTAGTTTAACTTCCTTTCCACATGCAGTAGTTGTTCTGGCAGCACTAAAAATCTTTCCACATGCAGACTTTCCTGCTGCAGCTTTGGCAATGTAGTGGACTTGGCTTAGGAGAACACCAAAGTTGCTATTTTGACAGGCTGCCAAAACTTCAAGCAATGTAGCCAGAGAAAGGAAGTTTGGAAGCAACACCTGAGAATCTTAAATGAGGATTTTCTCTGTGCTGATTCTTGAATGGTCTGCTGCAAACCTGGAAAGAGGGAAACGCTGGTTAACCATTTCAACAGAAGCAGTGATCAGCAGAACAGTGACAGATACAGAATTAAAATCTGAACTTCACTATGTTCAGACCTAAACTCAGTCTTGTATATGGTATTATCTTTCTCCATTTCCAGTTTACATTTGCATTTATTCAGTGATGTTAATGTGACAGATGTTGTGGAAAAGGATATTCTTTGCATTTGGAATTATTTGACATCAAGTAGGTAATTCCTATGATAATTTACTTAAATTCCATGAAGTATCAGCATTAGTTTAAGAATATGGCAGGAAGTCCATAGAAAGATTAGAATGATAATTTTTATGGTTTCCTCTTCTTCCTTTTTGACATAAACCTGCTAGTTCTTGCATGTATTATGTTTTGCAATGATTGTCTTTGCACCTTTAACAAAGTGACTCTTTCTGACACTAGAGATTTTTGTCTAATACACTCAGCATCTTTGGTTGTACCGAATTCTACCATCTCCATTTCTCTTCTCTTATGCTAGCATATTGAAGAGCACTAGTGAGTCACGCATTCATGTTGCTGAAGAACCATGCGCACTGTCTTTGAAATATAACATCAAGTCTGTTTTTCTAAGCAATAGAATCTGCAGTCCTTGGAAGACACTGGAGTTTTCTGAAAAGATTTAGATTTGTTTTGCCAAGATTTAGCTTTTGTCTTAAATGGTTGGGAAGGCAGTATAAAGAACAAAATGTGTTTTGAGTTATTGTTGTTTTGAACTGAGTCCTTCCTTTGTGGATCCAAATAAAGAACTTTGATAGAAGAAGCAGCAAGGACTGAGTAAAAATAATGTGTTTTTTTAAATTTTAGCATTATTTTGATGATAGGTAGATGAGACAATCTAGGTTTAGTCTTTGATCGTGAATATTTAATGTTATATAGGAGGTCAGTAATTAGCATGGCCTGGTAGATACTATATTGGTGAAGGTTTAAGCTGTTTATTTTCATATGACTTTTTATAGGTTACTATAGTGATTTAAGATATAATGGACTGTTCTGTGCCCATATCTAAATGTTGTTAAACATTCATAATTGGAAAAAAAAGTTATAAAATATGTCTTTCGGTAAAATTAAACATTAGAAGGGTAATAATAAATCAAACATAAATTTTATTACCCTAGACCATTAATTATTGATTAGATTATTTTTCTATATCTTAGAGAGTGTGCCTTGTGGTTACTGTTTGTAACTTTGAATAGAGCTGTGATAGATCATTTGTTGTGTATGATATTATTCCTGGCTGGAAGGTACAATTCTAAGATTATCAGTGTCTACAGTATCCATTTTGCAGAAAAACTAAAGTAGTTCTTACTCATCCTGGGGCCTTATCTAAAATGGATTGAATCAGTGGGAGTCTTTTCACAGCAAGATCTGGATCAGATCCTAAACTCTTAAATCATTAATAAGCTGCATGTATGGAGTTAAAACCTTCAAGCAAATGTTTCTAGCAACATATTTGTGGGCCCTTTTTGCACCAAAAGCTTGTAGAGAGAAAACAAAGCAAGAAACCTCTACAATGAGAAGAACTCAGTTTCGTATACTTGAATATTTGATAGGATGGTGCGTCAAGCATTGCACTGCTACTCTTCCTCTATTTATCTGACTGTTGAAGGGTGGTGTGGTTTGTTTTTTTTTTTTCCTTCTCCTTCTGATTTTTAGGCTAGCCTTTCCCTTTGCTTACTGTCCATTTAATTAAGATCCACTTTGGCTTGGCTTAAATCAGTACACTCTTAATTAATTTGTGCTGCAGTCACAATTTATACTACCAGTACCTAAAAAGGTAGGTATAGAATTAGTGATACTGATACAAAGAG